CACACACACACACACAGTCACACACAGGCGCGCATGCACACACACACACAGAGGCACACACAGGCACGCGTGCACACACACACACACACACACACACACACACACTCTTCAGTCTTGCCTCCAGCAGGGTTTCAGTCTTGTGTGGGGCAGGAGATTCAAGAATAAAAAAGGATTTCAGAGGAGCAAGCTCTTCCGGCCATGGTTCGGGACAGGCAAATGACAGGTTAGGGACCTGAGAGAGAGAGAGAGAGAGAGAGAGAGAGAGAGAGAGAGAGAGAGAGAGCAGAGAGCAGTGGAGGGTTACTGAATAAGCTGGTGCAGTTCTGAGTTTAAGCCTGATCACAGACACAAAACTAGGCAGTGACTCCCCAAAAACCTAGAACACAGAAAGCGCTATTATGTTTGCTCTTTACTCCCTCCTTCAACATTTTGTAAGTTTCATAGTGTACATAATACATGAGCTTAGTGGTGAACGGATATACTTTATATAAATATATATGTCTGCACTGGGGCGTGTGCTCAAATGTGAGGAGTGATGGGGTGTGATCACTGACGTTGGGCGCTGAGAGGCGGCTGTTGAAAGAGATTGTTTCCTCTCCTCCAGCTCTGATTCTCTGAGGTGACACTTCACACATGCTCAGGCTGACCAGTTGCCCCTGAGATGCTCCCCCATTGCTAAGCCCCAACCTGGGGTAAGTCCCTGTTACGTGGAGTGAACCAACCCTGCCCTGGGAATGGCACTTGATCTCTTTGAGGATATGATGCATGAAGATTCTCGTGTACCCTAAAAAGCCTGTCAAAAAGAAATGCCACCAAACAGGAAATACAGATTACACCGAATAAAATAAAACTATGAGATAGTACAAACAGCCACCGGAGAAATTCATTAACTGTGAGAAAAAGTCACTTTGGAAAAATTCAACGGCAGGCAAGCGAGATCAGAAATGAGTGAAAAGCTGCGTTTCCTTTTTAGTAAATGGGGACTTAGTCACTGGAGCCTTTTAAGAAAGATTTATTGTCAGTGAGTTAAGGTTTGCACAAAAACTATAAATTTTTTTGAAGCAATATTTTTTCTTTTCAGGGACATTTAACTGCAGTGGCTGGCAGTTGGGACAATTTGTATTTGGCATAAAGCAACGTGTTATGACCTGTAAACTCATTAACTAGTAACTCAAGGCCTCATCCTACCTTTGCAGGAAACACTTTGCAGGTACTCTGTGACTTGAGAGGGTGTGTACGAGTTCAAGATCACTAAGAAATCCAGGTACGCTTGCCCGTAATCGCTCTGGTACGTGGTCTGCTTCTTTGTGCGCTCCTGATTCCTCAGGTGGCTGTAGAGCACAGCAGGGACTAGGGGGACACAAGGAAGCACAGACTTTGAGTCTGTCACTGAGCAAAAAACTCCTGCCCTTGTTTGTTGAGCACAGAGGCAGCCCTGAACCTCCCCCTGGAGCCCACTCAGCATCTCTAATGGTCCTGGAAAGGGCGGCGCTGTGCGAGTGACTCAGGCTGTGTGGGGCGCTGGGACTCAGCACTGGAGCAGGAGGGATTAGAGACAATGGCCAGAAGGTTGAATCTGACCACTGTTTTCAGAAAGGAAGTTGTCCCTGTCAGCATGTCAGGATGTAAGCACTTGCCATCTGCGTTATAAACAACTGTCTTCATAGAAGCTGTTTCCTTTTCATACCATCTCCTGGGCAGACATGGACTGACACACTCAGCAGCCTCCCTCAGGGATCCAGGTGTCTTAGGAAGAGCAGTTTGGAAGACGGATGAGAGCTATGGTCAGCAGCATCACACACTCAGACTAATGGGGGCATGAGGAGCCGGAAGAACCGAAGCGCTTAGAGTTGATTCAGAATGTTGTTCATTTAATGTGGGTCCTGACAGTTGGGGAATCATCATAAAAAAGCAACGAAGATGACATGAGCACTTGTCCAATTTCCACTTGTCCAATCTTTGTAAACCTTAAGGACAACTTAAATGCATTCAGTTCCAGGCGTCTCCTTTAAAGGGATCATTGGTCAGATGGAGGGACCAGGCTGATGAGGGGACATGACACTCCACCCTGAGAAGTGTGTTTGTAGGGTCTGGAAATGCTTTAAGTGGAGCGAACTTGGAAGGCATATGCTAGGCTTTCACAGGATAACGGATTATACTGGCTAATGTGGGAAGAACAGAGCCTATGGCTACAAGCTGAGCGAGGAGGATTCTAGCTGTGGGGGCTTCCAAACAGCTGAAACATCTAAGAAGAAAGGCACTGCTTTGGGTGTGGGCACTCCCCTGAAGAGTCTGGGCAAGGACAATATCACCCCCTTGTCAAGGATAGGATAGGGGTGACTCAGATATGACATGAGGTCTAGACTAGGTAACTTCTCGGTTGCCTCCTAACCCCAAGACACTAAATAAGCTTCTACGCTGTGATTTCTGTCTAAAGTACTACTTGATCCCTACTCCATGCCAGGAATAAATTGCCCCCTTAGGCTGATACTCAATTATCCTCTTAACCGGTAGCTTGGAGGGGGCTGGGTCATGGAACTTTTAAAAACTTTTCTGTTGAAAACAATAGAAATCTGGATCACAAAAATAGACTCAAATACAATAGAAAGAGCGCTAAATCTGCATGTGCTTGAAGGTGTGTGTGTGGATAAATGACTAATTTCATTCCCATCTGGTCTCTTTCCCTGTCATTTTATAGCAACTGAATCCTTTCTTTAAGTTTTATAAGGCAGGGGGAGGGGGAAGAAGTCCCTGATCCTAATACCCACCCCTCCCAGGCAGATTTCTCAGCATAAGCAGTCAGCTCTCTTCTGAGACTCTCACTCCCTGAGTTTGAGGGCAGGCGCCATGGAGGCGTAGTTTTAATTTCATGCAGGGATCTCTGATGTTCTCTGTGACTCTTACCAAGATTCAGAGGAATCTTGGAGCAAGGGGAAAGAATCTACGAAGGCACTTTAAAAGCTACAGGTGTACCTATCTAGACCCTGAGAAGCGATTGGTAAGCTTGAGTAGCATCCATATTTGAAACTAAAATCTTTTTTTGTTGTTGTTGTTTTTTGTTTTTTGTTTTTTGTTTTTTTTAGCTGAGCCATCCTGCCACCTGTTGGCAGCTCAGCGGCTGCTCAGCTCGGGCTGACTCGAACCGCTGTTGCTCAGAGCTCAAACTCTTGAGCGAGCTCTTAACCAACTGAGCCACTCAGCCGGCCCCGAAACTAAAATCTTGAAGCTCAGGAATTTAAGCTGGAACTTGGTAATTCCATCGAAATTCAGTGTCTGCAGGGTGCGGAAATAACTTTTTCCATTCCAGATGCACCTGAGAACTTTGCTTAGTCTTCTGAGCTGGGGTGGGGGTAGAGATGGATGGAAATAATTACCCCTTGTATGCTATTTCTGAATAGCATCATACTTTCATTCCATTTTGCTTTTAGCACTAGCTTCTGATTTATCACACCAGAACCAACTCTTCTTATATTTAGAGGTATGGGCAATGTACTTTTTATGGATATTTCAACTAAGAAATAATTTTCTGCTTCATCAAGCATAGGAAGGATATGCTCACATCATTAGAAGTAGATTCTAAAGAATATGTTGTATGTCGGTAGGAGTGCTCCTTTGTTCAGCTTTGTGGACACAGAAGGCATTCCTCACTCCACTAGACCTGCCTCGTCCCTGAGACCATGATGGGGAGCACAGTGAGAGATTTTAGAGAGGGCTAGGGTTGCCATATAAAACATAGTTAAGTTTGAATTTCAGATTAACAATGACTAATTTTTTAGTGTGAGATTGCATAAGTACTCATTATTTATCTACTACATACAGTTACTCAGATTTCACTGGGCATCCTGTGTTTTATTTGCTGTATCTGGCAGCCATAGGTGGTCAGTGCATGTCATCCCCGTTACCTGGAAAAGAACCACGCAAAGCTTATCCCTTACTGACGGAGGGTTAGGTAACGTCATCATCATTAGTAGACAATATCACTATTATTTCTGTGAAATAACTCTGCTAAAAATATTCATTAAATCTATAATCATTAAATATCTATTAAGCACTGACTGAACGCTAGGTCCCACAAGCATACCAGACAGAAGAGAGTCACAAGCCATCTCACTCAGAATGAGTTTACCCTTAATTCTTGTTACAAAGTGTTGGTTCAGAGGCATATCATACAACTGCAACTTTATTCTGGATAAAGGTGTGAAAAACATGGATTTCATGAGCAATGCCCAAAGAATGCCAATTACTACTGACACTAAACTCAGTTCTTGCTCCAAATTAATTTTTCAATAGAACTGTTCAACGTAAATTAAAATGTACATTGTACATAAAACAATGTGTGATGTCATCTGCCGGCATACAAGAGTGTTTTCTTATTGATTTTTAAAAAAATGATCTCTGTCTAGGTCAATAATGCTCTTAATTTAAATGACTCGGGAAGAGAGGACATGGGTACTCGATGGCTCTCATAATGAACCCATAGGCTGCCCAAGGAAAAGATAAGGTTAGAGAGGAGGAAACTCTAGGGTCAAAATCAGGACATCCTTTAAGATATTTTGGAAAATCATTTGGCATCATTCCTAGTAAGTGCCATCCTTCACTTGGTTTTCATAATTACTAATAGCTTTATAGGAGTAAAAACAGTTGAAATACTCGATACATATGCCCATCCCTTCTCCTGAAAGCTAGTACTCAAAATCAAATGTGTTCAGTGCCTATATGTGTTCTGTGCCAAGGTTAAAGACAATTAGGTCATTGTTCTACCTTAAGACAACCAACCGCAAATGAGTATGATTAGAAAGATACATGCAGGACAAACGCATATGGAATGTGATGTCTTGCAACCGTAACACTTAGAACTGTGGTTTCCACATAGAGATAATCCAACAGAATTACCTGGGATGGTTTTTCCAAAAACCTGAACCTCATCCCAGACATTGAAAATCTCTAGAAGTGGGGCCCAGGGACTTTTGTTGTAAACGAGCTTCTCACCTGCTTAAGAATCACTAACTCAGGGCCTTGAATAAGGAGCTATAGAAGCCCAGGGAGATTGTGATGAGCTCTGTTAGGAGAAGGGAAGCAAGACAGAAATTGAAGGGGAGGCACAGCAGAGAGCGTGCTTTGATGAAGGGGCAACACAAGCAAAGGGTGCATTCATGAAATGTAGTCGGGTTGGTGGGAGTGTGATGTACGCAGGGCAGGGAGGGGTAGCTGAGGGTGAAGCGGAGAGGTAAACTAGGATTCAGAGCTGTGAAGCATCTGGAGGGGTTGGTCCATGTGGACCAGGATGGACCAGCTTAGAAGTAGAGCAATTGGAGATGAAGACCCAGAAAAACATTAATCGGGGCCTAGACTTATTCAGAGTTCCTGTGAAGATAAAGAGTAAATCATATTCTTCATTGATCCTCAGTACTTATCACAGTAATAGACCTCATTAAATATTTACTAAATTAATGAGTGAACAAAAGAAAAAAGTTAGAACATAATTGCTATGGATTAACAATTAATCTGAACTACACTCTAGCGATCGCCTATGTGATATATGCTTAAAATAACACTTACTTGGTTCCAACTAATGCTTTTATTGTTTTTATAAAATTTCATGTTAGTTAGTTCCTTTGTCATTATTAAGGAAAGAAAATCCAGAAAGGGCCCCAACTGACAGCTGAGGTCTCCACCGTTGTATTGACGTTTGGACAAACGAGACAACCATGACTCAGAGCTTACCTGGCTCAATGCTAACCACACCTCCCAGGACCAAAGCCTGGACTCCTCCAGGGAGCCGTCCCTGCTCCTCAGGAGCTAAGGTCCCACTGGTTTTTTGTCTACTTGATAACAGTGACATATACTACATATATGACATACACTTACTGCCTGAAGAGAGAAACTGGCCCACTGAAGATTAGGTAAGGCATCTGCTGACAGGGCCTAATCCAAAAGTAAATCTACAGCAAGGACAGCCAAAACCACTAGAACCCTTAGCACATAATCTATAGCCATGTGAGAACCAGTTCTGTGGGTTTTATCTGCTGTGTAAATCACCCAAGCCAAATCATCCAAGCCTAAGTGAGAAAACAGGTACCTTTTAGTAGTTTTCATTGATTCGCCTTAACTCTAGTAATGAGGATACTCAGGTAAGACATGGTCCCTGGGTATTCGATGCTTAAAGCATTAGAGAAACAGATACAAAAGAAGAGAATTACAATATTATGTGATAAATGCTGCAGAAGCGGTTAAGAAGAGGGTCTATAAAACATAAGGGAGGGCTACTGATCCAAACTTGGGGGACCAGTGAAGACTCCTGGGAGAGAAGGAAAGCTTACATTTAGACTTAAATTATGGGCAGATGTGGGCTAAAAGAAGGAAGGGAGAGGCATTCCTAGGGAGGAGGCAGTGTGTGGGGAGGCATGAGGCTGCCAGGGGCACGGTGAGCCTGGTGAACGGTGGGCAGTCTCATAGTGTGGGGGCTGGCAAGGGGGAATGCTAGGGCGTGAGCAAGGACCAGATTCTACAGAACCCTGAGGACAATGGGAAGGTTTAGCTCGAAGGTGATGTCAACTTGCACATCTGGAAGCTCACTATGGCTATTGTATGGATGGACAGTGGATCAGAGGAGACAAAACCAGAAAAGGGAGTTGGATTAGAGGTCATCCAAGGGATAGTAGCCTGAACCAGGGCAGTGGCTGAGAAAAGCGAGAGAAGCAGATGGCATTAGGAGATTTAGGAGGGCATCTTGACAGGTCTTGGGTATTTACCTAGATGTGGCGACATGGTAATTTGCTCATGCTGAAAGGACAACTGATTGGAATCTCAAAGACATCTTTGAAGAATGCTGACATTTCAAATGTTTTCCCATGACATTTTATTTATAATGTTCATCTGCTACATGGAGGTCTTTTAATTACAAACGACCAGAGATGTATTCAACACAAAATTGAACAAAAGCATGTCTGGATGGTGGGACACAGTAGGAGGGTGTAGAGAGATGCTGGACTGAAAGAAAGGGGTTCAGTGAGAGTCTGCTCAGTCCCTTCCCCAGTTCTGCTCTCAGTATGCCAACAGCCAAGAGTTTACCTCTCTGGAAAAACTGATCTACAAATACTGACATTTGGGGGTTTCCTAAGAAAAAGAGAGCTCACCACCTAAGTTAAGCACCAGCTAACAAGCCCCATCTCTATGTAGTTTCCAATCAGATGTGAGTACCTCCCTTGAAATTGTCAGTGGGGAGTGGAGAGGGATGGGTGAGGGAACTGCTGGTATTTCATTATGAGCCTGTAGGATACTGTATTTAAATATATGCATGCACTGGTTTAATTCAAGTTTTAATTTTTAAAAATATAGCCAAGTCATTAGGAATTGAAAACAGCCTGTTTGACTCGATCACTTCATCTTCATCTGGCTATTGGTCCTTGTTCTTCAGGCCCAAGAAGCCTTTCCTTACCTCTCTCCCTGCGTTTGGCTAGATGTCCTACTGTGCGCATCCACAGCACCCTGCATTTTCCACAATGTGCACCTTTTACACTTGACCATTTCTGTTGGTAAATTGCTCTTGTCATGTCTACACTGTGATCCTTGAGGAAAGAGACCATGTCTGTGCAGCTTACCATGGGGACTCCAGTGCCTAGTGCGTTAGCAGGAAGAGGAGAGAAATGAACACGCTTACCTTTGGCTGTGTCCACAAACTCTCTTCTAGTATGGGAAATAAATTGATTAGATATGGCCTTCCTGACCTCATCCATCGAAGCAGTGATTTTCCACGGGAGGAAGCTCTTCACTGGTGTTGAGTGACCTGGAGGTAGTGTCCAGTGGACGAGGGCCTATCAACACAAACACAATTTTCAAGAAAATACACATGGGTTCACCTAATGGAGTGAAAAATGAGTATGTGTGCATGTGTGTCTGTGTGCACATGCGTGTGCATGCATATATGTGTGTGTGTACACATTCTTTAGAGTCCTTTACACCTGGGCACCATCTTGTAGATGCTGTGTGTACAGGAGCCTGTCAACAGGAGCCATCAGTTTACCCAGCTGTAACACAGCATTTTGTCACTGTGACTTTTCCTATTGATGAAAGAAAATGTGATTGCAAAGTCCGAGAATTGTGCCTCCATTCAGACATCTTCAGATCAGGCCAGAGGAAGAGAAGTCCTGTGAATTCTAGCTCTGGCCACACTTGCACACCGCTCCTTCACCTTGGAGCCCCCAGCCCTCTCTCCTCTTTGCCTCCAAAGAAATATCATGATTATAAAATTTGGAACCTCCATCACCTCTTTCCATCTTCCCTCTCTCTTGCCTCTTGCTTCCTATTTTCCTGAGAAAATTGAAGCCAAGGAAGAGAACATCCTTAACCTGCCGCACCACCGCCCAGTGGGGCCCTATCCCACCTGGTACATGGGAGCCCCTTGTGTTTAATCTCCTCCACACATGACCTGAACAACTCTCACTTCTTTCTTAAAACTTCTGTTTCTCCCTCTCTCAGGTTGTTGCCATCAGCATCCAAGCCTGCCATTATTTCTCCTCTCTTAAAACAAAGAAAAGAAAAGAAAGGAAGAAAGAAAACAAAGAGAGAGAGAGAGAGAGAGAGAGAGAGAGAGAGAGAGAGAGAGAGAGAGAGAGAAAGCAAGCTCCCTCTTCACTCTACTTCAACCTCTAGTTACTAAGGTATTTCTCAGTTTGTCTTCACACTGAAATTCCTCAAAATAGTTAAGTATACTCATTGTCCCAAATTTGCCTTTCAAGTCTCTTTTAATCTTCAGTTTCCCTCTCTATCCCCTTTTCCTCTTATAATTTTTCTATGTGAATTTCACTTCAATTAAAAATCATTTTTGGGGGCCAGCCGAGTGGTGCATTGGTTAAGAGCTGGCTTGGGACGCCAGAGGGCCCCGGTTCGGATCCCACATATGAGGGCCAGTGACACTGCCCTCTACAGCTAAGATGCTGAACAACAGCTCAACCTGGAGCTGGGCTGCCGTGAGTCGTAGGCGACTGGTAGGCTGCAGCCACTGCTGCAGTGGGTTGCCATGGGCTACCGTGTGTAGCCAGCAGCCAGCGTGAGCCGCGAGCGGTCGTCCAGAAGCCGGCGACTGATCTGCCTCGCCCAGGAAGAGCGCAATGATGGTGCCAACTTGGGCCAGTGAAGCAACGTCCTCCACAAGTAGACTGAAGAACAAAAGGACAGCAACTTGTCTGTTCCCCTTCCCCCAAATCCCCAGTGCTGTTCCCCTCCCCCAATTCCCCAATAAAAATCTTTTTAAAAAATCATTTTAAAATTAAGGGGGTGGGGAGAAGTAGTTAGAAATACATGTGAGAGGGTAAGCAAAAATAATCTCAGAAGAACCATAATTATAGATGGTGAAGGATCTTTGGGACATATTCAAACTCTCACTTATGGATTATTGATACAATATTAAATTCAACTGATATGTAGATATTGCCTTACTTGACTGGGGCTCCCAGTTCCTCTTGGGGTTCTGGCCTTGATCAACTCTTTTTCAGAATATGATTTCCAGGTGTACTCATCATTGTGCTGTGTCTGATTGAGAATAGGATCACTCAGTGAATAGGTATATCCTAATCGTCTGGTACTTTTTGGACTACAAGAACAGATAGCGGAAATTGGAGTAAAAGATTAAATACTAAGTCTCACAACAGTACACAGGTCAGTAATTTTACTCGTCACATTTTTTTAAAAGATTAGCTAGCTTAAGACTTATCAGAAATCATTTAATTTCCAGATTTCCCTGAAAAGAAACAATCCTGTACCTTAGGATGGATCTTGACAAAGTATGGGAGGTCTAAAATAAAATTTAAATGAATACAAATCTGAAATTCAGTAATTGTTAAACTCATTTTATAAAGAATTTAAAGAGCTGCATACTCTCCTGTATGAACAGTACTTCTCTCTATAGAACTATTTCAGTTAATAAAAGGAAGAAATATAAGAATTAAGATATCACAGGTTTGCAAGTCCCTGACGAAACAATGCATCCAGGCAGTGACTGGCAGTTTCCATTCACTGCTCAGAAAGAGAGAGCACGAGGGGTGTCTGGTCTGGATGGACACACACACCACTGCCCATTAAAGATTTTTGCCACAGTACCCAACACGAATCTAATGACGTCTTTGGAATCTCAGGAAATACATCAAATGGGGGATATTTTAAATGACATGATGGGGATGAAATCAGAAAAATCCAGAACAGCCATCTATTTCTTTAACAAAGATATTTTCAGACAAAAAAAGGGGGGGGGCCTGTTGATTAATTGACATAAGAAATGTAATAACCAAATGGAATAAATTTCAATCCAACTGTTGTTTTTTTAAATTATGAGACAATTGGAGAAAGGATTGCTGATTGGCTGTATTTGATATTAAGGATTTTTTTAGGTGAGTTAATGGTATTGTTATATATTTTAAAAGAGTCCTTATCTTTCAGAGATATATAAAATTATTTAGAATTGAAATGATATATAATGCCTGGAATTTGCTTCAGCATTACTCAGTGGCAAGGCTGGGTGGAAGGCGTACAGGAAAGTGTCCATGTGTTCTGGATTACTGAAGCTCGGAGCTAGCTGGAGATTCATTGTGCATATCTAAAATATTTCACATTGACTTTTTTAAAAAAGAGGGCTGGGTTAGATTCAGGTTATGTCTGTAAGAAACCAAACATCTGGAAAGTGAATGTATCTGGATGATGGACTAGTCTACTTGTCATCCAGGTGCATGGGGACCAGGTAGGACGGCGGTCCTAAATCCAATGGAAGTGATCGCAGGTCCACGAAGAGTCTCCAAGGGAACAGAGCACAGATAGCTTTAAAGGGCTTGTTTTTCAACTCCATTTCTGAGCACACTCTTTCCTAACAGGTACCTGCCTGAGCGCAAACCTGCACAGCTGTGGCCCTTTCTTTCCCACAGCCCTTTCTCTCTTCCCCACTCCACCACAGGGTCTTACTAAGGTGCTTTACACCTCTTACTCCTCGGGGTGGAAGGCTCCAACCACAAGCGGTGCTCAGTGGAGGAAAACTTTGGGCTACATTTCAGGGCAGCCCCCTTGCATCCAAATCCAGGTACTTGCTTAGGGCTTGCCCTTTCCATCCTAGCTTTCACCTGTATTTCTGAGAGGTTGAAAGGTGGTTCTATAACCAGGATATTATGGTCTGTGAAGGATAGTCTGAATTTAGCTACATTGTAATGACATGGTGGAGTGTAATATTGGAGACACTTGTCCATCTCCTGACGATTACAAAATGTTATCCCTCTTTAGAGAGAAGCCTCTGAGAGAAAGACAGAGAATACAGAATGCTTAAAATGTCCCTTACCCCCCCACATACTTAAAGGTAAACATTTTTTTTCAGCTTTTAAAAAATCTCTAGGATATGTCTCTAGCTGGAAAGAAAATTTCTGAGTAGATGGAGCAGGATGGGGTGGTGATGCTGGTTCTTTTCAATGTAACTGGAATCTTTTCCTAAGCTACCAAATTTTTAAAGATTCGCTGGGTAAAACTGGTGCGTAAATATATTGTGATGTTTTTCAGATTTTTTTTTTTTTTTTAGCCGAGCCATCCTGCTACCTGTTGGCAGCTCAGCAGCTGCTCAGCTCGGGCTGGACTTGAACCGCTGTTGCTCAGAGCTCAAACTCTTGAGCGAGCTCTTAACCAACTGAGCCACTCGGCCAGCCCCTGTTTTTCAGATTTTATATTCATCATTCAACAAGGTATTTATACCTTATTTTTTAACATGATCTTATTATAAAATATTTATCCCAATACAGCCAGTCTTCCCTTTATTTTATTTGTAAAATATTAACAATACATGACAGTATATCTTGGCTTGCCAGACCAATTAATTTTCACCAAACATAACTTTCTTCTTCATTAAGTGCATACTAAATGTTTGATTTGGTGTCTAAAGAAATCAATAAAATTGTTTCTGATTTTTATATATGATTATTATTTAATTATTCCCCAAAGTCAAGCACCAAAGTTCTATGCACATGAGAACATATTTAACTAAAGAACATCAGATTTTTCTTATCATACTCCTCACTTAACAGATAACAAACGTATTTAGATATATATTTCATTTCATTATTTTTATTACTTGAATATAATTAGTCACATTAGACCAAAATATTTTTACACTTCCCTGTCTACTTTTAACTACCTTCCCTAAAATGTGCATTTCATTTCACAATTTATCAGTAGTTTTCATAATATTTCTCAAAACTTTTAACATTTATTTGAACTGTTAAGTGTAGTCAGATTTTATTTTGACAGTAAATAAACCTAATTTTACTTGTTGGTTTGAAAACAAGGACTGATTTTAACAACTAGGTAAACATGGTATAAATTGTATAAGTTAGATATTTAGCTCTAAGATTTTGATTAAAATATATTTGAAGTATGTGATGATAAAAACTTTTTATCAAAAAGAAGATTGTATTGGAAAACATTTATTGAAACTACTGTTTCCATTTTCTAAGTCCTTTTTGAGAGTATAATACTAAACAAGTTTCTTTCAAGTGAGAGAGTAGCAGATGTAATTACAGCCATTTGTTAAGATGTACCTTTTTCAGTATACTTCTCAGAAAATGAGACAGGAAATAACTCAATAACTAGCTGACAAATCATCTCATTATATGCTTTCAATAAAACTGAACAAGGTGTCAGCCAATCAATCATTAAAAATCACCTTGTGATTTTTTGGCATGTAACTCAGAGTTCAGAGTACTGAATGAAAATGCTACACTAAAACTTTCATTCATGTCTACTTATTATGTGAACAAGGTTTCCCAACATTAGCATCTACAAATTTTAAAAAAATTTAAAAGGAGCAGTAAAAAATTAACGTTGAATCTGGTCTCATTCCAAAAATAACAACACTCAAAACTGGATTTATAAACTAATCAAAAACAAAACAGTCCCATTTATCTCATTAAGATGTAGTTCCAAAATGTTTACTTTTTGTATATAGTAATTATTAACATTTGTACTGTATTCATTGCTTTGAGCAATTGTGTACTAAAAATAATTGTGATAGCTCAATACTAAAGGTCTCATATCATGCTTAAAAATTAATTTCAATTAACATACTAAAATGGTTGCCAAGAAGTATAATGGAGTGATCAATAAGCTCCTTTCAAACACAAAATATATTACAGCAGAGTAAAAGTCTATGGAGGAAGTAGAGTGGGACTAAGAGTCCAAGACGGAAAAGGAATGAAATAAAAATTATCTATTAAAGAAGAGCTTGTTTGTGTGTCTTTTAAAAGGACCATAGCATGCATTAATTTGCTAAGGTGTTAAGATTACCCATAGGTTATAGTCAAAGAAATAACTGAACAGTTTTGTTTTTAAATGTCAATATTTAGGATGGGCTGAAAGTTTTATCTTTTGCAACTATTTAAATTTATGATAAAAACTTCTGTGAACTTAACTATGTGAATTTGAGGCCCACTGATTTAAACTTTGATAGTGCCCATTTGGTTTTGGCATTCATCTCATGTTTCTTCTTCAGACAAGTGTTCCCGCCTGGGAAGCTGGTGGAATCATCACTGTCGATGATAAATCTCCCAGTTAAGGAACATAATGGGACTCTGAGGGCTAGCTAATAACTTAGAAGTCAGGAGTCCGGCAGTCTGCATTTTGGGGAAGTCTGTCATATATTATGCTGGGGAAAAATGAATGAAAAAATGGTTGTAACTTTGCATTTGTCACTGTCCTGGTGCTTTCATTCTGTCCCCAGAACAAGCACCAGCCTTAAAAGTGAGCCACACATGGCTTGTTACCTGCCGAAGGTAGCAGAGATCACACGGGTTAGAGCAGGGAGTAGAGGTTAGAACCCCTTTCTGCCTCATTCCACAGCCATGGTCTTGCCAATATTCCTTCTGGCTTCTCAATAACTTGAGCTTTTAAGGTGAGAGACCTTTTTTATTGGGAACAATCCACAGAGTAGACACAGGCAAGGGAAGATTCTCCATGCTGATTTCCCACTGACCACTGATGCCATGAAACTTGCCAGGGCTTTCCTTACCCCACTCTCACTCACCCATCAATGAGCTTAGAGAGGCAGCTGACAGACAGAAATTCCCGCCACCCACACTTCAGGCAGAACTGGAGATGCTGCAAGCCAGCATTGCTTTAGGAAGCAGAAAGTAGAGCAGTGAAGGTAAAGGTGAGGAAACTGTGGGTTTCTCCCAGCTTCCAAGACTAGTAGTGTTGATTGAAGTGCTAACAACTGGTCATTCATCCATTCATTCAACTGTCACTGCCTCTTACCATGTATCCAGTGATGGGTTCAATTCATACTCTGTGCTCAGGTGACATAATTCTATTAACCTATTTATTGCCTCTATTGTAAACCATGATACACAGGAACATGATGAAGAATCCATGGGTCTGTTTACTTAGTTTTCCTGCAGGAGGTTTAAACGTTGTTGGGGGTGAGGGGTGGGGTGCTCTTTCTGATGCTTGGAGAACAGTGCATGCTGAATAGGTCTGACCTGAGTGCATCTTTCATAAGCTTTCTCCGGTTACTCTTTCCATTTGTTTTGACTTCTGAATGCTAGGATACAAATGAACAAATTCAAGTGTGCTTGTCAACCTGACCCAAGTAGGAACGTACCAAGTTAAAGCAGGCACTGCTGCCATCTTAGGTGTGAATGCAGTCTTCATCGTGGTGGCATAAGAGTCCCACAGGGTATCACCTGTTCAAAGCATAATAGGACAGTTTTAAGTGGGTAAAATTAGCATAATCTGATCAAATGTTGATTTAATAATTAAAACAATTTTGCAGGAGAAAAGCATTTTTGATGGAAATTTTGAGTCTACGAAATAAAGGCCAACTTGTGGCTTCTACTAAAAGAGGAAGTTCAACTTAATTATCTGAGTTTCCTCTTAAATAAAACTATGCCTACTGTTTTCCCTGAGAATTCATATATGCTTTTTTAAGGAGGTCAAGCAATATATAAAAATATAAAGCAGAAAGTTTATTTGAAATTCTACCATCTTAAGATGCTCACTGTTTCTGACTTAGTGACTTTTCATGCATTACACATACCTGTAAATGCATGAAATTATTGTGAATGAAGGGGCTCAGAGTTTACGTGTTGGGTTTCATCCTGAATCCCTTCCCCTTGCTCCTTTCTCTCCCTGCTCATTGTCACCCTCCTCCTGTCTCTCCTTCCAGGAAGCCCATGTTAACAGGTATGCCTATTTATTTTGAGACTTTTATACCTGCTGATACAATCATATATGGATATATATATATATATATATACACACACACACACACACAGACACACACATAAATACATAGACATGTAGGGTTTTAGTTCTTACCATATTGTTTTACAAAAAAGGGGCTCATATTACACGGTGTCCTTTTCTGCTCTCTATCATTTAACAGTGTTATACAGGAAACACCCCCAACTCATCTGGGGTAGCTCTAATGTATTCTTTATATGATTGTGCAAGATTCTGTGGTGTAGATGTTGTTTGAAGCTCCAAGAGTGGGTGAGGTCAACAAGGGAGGGAGCACAGTTAGAAGAGATGAAGCTTGGGGCACACCTGGGGCACACGAACAAGAGGTTGGGGAGTCAGGAGGAGCCAGGGAAGGAGCTGAGAAGAAGGTCAGTGAGGCAAGAGGAAGACCAGGAGAGTGTGGTGTCCTGTAAGCCAGAGGAAGAAAGTGTTTCCAGGAGGAGGAGGCATTGCCTATGGCATATGTTGCTGGCTGGGTCCAGGAGGATGAGGATTGAAAAGTAACCATTAGGCAGACACCAGCAACAGCAGAATTTATCTGCTCCAACCCCTCATTGTCAAAAAGGCCCACCAAATTTCTTGGAAGTACATATTTTAAATTTAATTAAGCCCTTCTCTAATTCTTCACATCTGGGCAGTTATCTGTTGCCTTTTATGTTTCACTAGAACCTGAGTTGAAATGGGCCCTTTAATGTTTGAACAAACCACTGTCTATCACCTCACCTGTAGAGCACTATAGCCACATGTCATTGCCTGTGTTCCAACTCATGCATCCTAAATATGAGATCTGACAATTATGTTTGCGAACTGATCCTAGAAAAAGTGCTACATACCTCACTGCTAAATATCGCTACGGTCACCTTCGAAACACTCCCCTTTGGAAGCTATGCACTGACGCCAGCGCCTAGCCCACCCTTTAAAGCAATTTTGGAACTCTTTCTGGAATGGCCACCAGAGCTGTTGTCAAATTACCCTTCATGTTCTGAATCTCATCTAAATGTCTTCCTTTCAATATTTCCTTTATCTTCAGGTTAAGAGAGAAGTCATTGGGGGCCATATAAGGTGAGTAGGGAGGTGTTTCCAATACAGTTATTTGTTTACTGGCTAAAAACTCCCTCAAAGACAGTGCTGTATGAGCTGGTACATTGTTGTGATGCAAGAGCCATGAATTGTTTCCAAAAATTTCAGGTCGTTTTTGTCTTTTTCACACAGCCTTTTCAGCCCTTCCTAATAATAAACTTGGTTAACTGTTTGTCCAGTTGGTACAAATTCATAATGAATAACCCCTCTGATATCAAAAAAGTTAGCAACATTGTTCTGACTCTTGATTTGGACTGACGGAACTTTTTTAGTCATGGAGAATTGGCTGACCTCCATTGTGCACTTTGACGCTTTGTTTCAGGGTCGTATTGGTACACCCATATTTCATCACCAGTGATAACATGGCCCAAAACATTGCCTGGCCTCTCCAAAAGGTCTTGGCAAACTTTGACTCTCCTTTGCTTTTGTTCATCGGTGAGTTCCTTTGGGATCATTTTGGCACACGTCTTTCTCATGTCAAGATTTTCAGTTAAGGTTTTCCTAACTGTTTCTCTATTGCTGTTTACTTGGTATGCTATGCTTCTCACAGTCAGCTGACAATTTTGATTCACAATTCGATGAATTTTTGCCATGTTTTCATCAGTTCTGCTCATTACTGGCTGCCCTGACCTGTCTTCATCAGTGATGCGTTCTCTCCCTTCAGAAAAACATTTAATCCATGTGTACACTGCCATTTTCTTCATGGCATTATCCCCATAAACTTGGCCTGAGATGTCCCTGATTCCACTTCTGCTCTTGCCAAGTTTAACAAGAAATTTAATGTTTGTTCGTTGCTCTAATTCAAGCTCAGGTATTCTCATGACAGCACACAAAAACACGCAACAAAAATAATGAAAGCCACTCAGCAAGACACCATCACATGTCAACACGGACACAGCTGTGAGACACTGATACACCAAGGTTATGAAACCTTACCGAGCTGTTTGTACAGTGCTGCCAATGTAAGTGCACAGTGGCAAGTTCACAAACTTAATTATCAGAAATTGTACTGGCTCTCAAGTATCTTTCTCAAATGCATTCTCAATTTTCAAATATTCTTAAAATCTATATGCCACTGCCAAGCACATGGAGCCCTGACCAAGCATTTAATTTTTGCCACCTGTGTACTGCTTATCATTCATCTGCCCACCTCTCCCAACCAGGGCTTGTGTTTAGTTGAACAGGCTCTTGGGCCCAGCCAGGCCCTGGGTCTGCTCATCTGTTAGTACTTACCTGGTGTCTTCATGCTGGCCTTCACCCCTAGAGGCTTCCGCAGTCTAACTAAATAAAGCCTTAACCCCACATGTCATACCCCTCTGCTCACACAGACTCCTGATGTCCACACTCTGATCCCACTCTACAAGAAGTGACATTATCGTTTGAGACTCCTGCTTTAGTGGGAGTCACTTTATGTTTGAAAACATTTTATTCCCACAGCAGAATTAAATGTCCTCATGTTTCAAGCATGGACGAGTGAGTGGGAGGTGGTGCTGCTCTTCAAAGCAGCCATCATTTAACTTGATTTGAATTCCGAAGGATGCCAACAGCCACTAGAGGCTGGGTAAGGCAAGGACAGATTGTCCCCTGGAGCCACCAGAGGGAGTGCAGTCTGCAACTTCTTCCTTTGGGGCTTCTGGCCTCCAGAATATGAGAGAACACATTTCTGTTGTTTTGAACCACCAGTTTGTGGGAACTTATGGCAGTCCTTGGAACTAATATAGCACTTAAGAGCCCAGCATATGGTAATAGTTTAATAGCAGTTAACCCATAGCAGTTATCATCAACCTCTTCCCATTTGGGGAACCTGGGTAGTGACACATCAGGCCCACCACTTGGAGGGTGCCACTCCTGAAAGGGACAATGGAGTAGCACAGAGTGGCTATGAGAAGCCCCAGATGGGATGTGAAGAGGCAAACTTTAGAGAAGGGAAGAGGAAGGGAACGCTGGAGCAGAATCAATCAACTTGGGATGTAAATGAAGCTGCCTTCCCCTCTACTCTGAGCAGCTGGGACCCTCCTAACTGAGATCCCAAAGTCTAAGAGGACAGGAGGGTGATTTTGCACAGGTTGAGTTTGAGGCCCTCCTGTGACATCCAAATGGATCTGGTAGACAGCTGGTCATTTGGGTCTGAAAAGTAGGAAGAACATACCAGTTAAAGACTAGAGCCATTGGCACCTTTACATAGGCCTGGAGTCCTGTGACGGGGTGGCCACTCATACAGAGGATGGAAACTGAAAAGGATAAACTTGGAGGACTCTACATTTCCCCACAAGAAGGGAGAGAGGAGACAGCGAAAGAAACCAATACAGGGTAACTAGAAAGGCTGGAGGAAGAGACCCAAAAGGAGTGTGGCAGGGGTACCCTGGGGCAGACCCTCTCTCTGCCCTTTGCCCTGTCACTGTATAGAAACTGGGGTTTTTACATAGTTTTCATACTAATTAAGTATTTTCATTTTCTATCCCTAATTTACAAAGGGTGGGTGGAATGGAAAACGCATTTCATTCATTCTTGTGGGACTACAGTTCCAGGGAATTTGCAGTGGAACCATCCCCTTTGCTCTGTAGCCACTGTGGAACTCCAATTACCCAGCTGGAATGCTGCAAGGGGTTATTACTGCCACGAGAAAGGCCAGGATGGAGCTGACTACACAGCAATCACATCACTAGCATCACTGACAGAGTGGCTCTCCCTCCACTGACACCAAAAGCTGAGTTAGTAAAGCTGCTGCATTTGCATGCAAAATCAGTACTCAAAGCACTATGCCTGTTAAATACAAAATCACTTTGAAAGAAAATCCAGTGAAGGTTTGAAGGGACAGCTGAAAGCTGATCCCTGCCTCTGCCACAGCCCTGTGTGGGGGACACTGCCTCTGTGGGTCCCCTTGGGGGCCCTGCCTTCCATTCCGCACTTCCTTAAGTTCTGCGCTGTTCCCAAGGGGACCAAGACTCCTGTTGGGCCTACTGTCATCAGAGCCTCCCCACCTCTCTTCCAGCTTTGTCTTTGGCTTTGTTCTTCTGGAAAGGCACTAGTACCCCTTTTTCCTGTCCCCTTCCCAGCCAAGCATTTCTTGGGAGTGTTTAAAAACACCTGAGCAGCTTGTCAGGTGTTGGCAGAATGAATGGCGAGGGGGCTGGAAAGGAGCAAGGCCATGCACGTGCTCTCATCCTCCCTGACTCCCAGCATCTCCTTACAACGACTCCCATCATAAGGGAGAGGTAGATGCCCTTAAAGACCCAAGCAGCCTTCGCTCTGGCGTACCCCATCTCCAGGGAAGGCCCCTCCCCGAACCCGCTGGCTGGCAGGGTCCACAGTGTTACTTGGCAGGATCTTGTGGCTGCATTGAGAGGGGCACGTAACCTTGGGTCCAGGCTGTGCCATTCTTGCCTCAACATGCAGTTGGGGGCGCCTCACCCCAGCTGGACTGGGTGCTGCGGGTGAGCCACTGCTTTGTGACGCGTTGCCATGGAGACGCAGGTCCGTTCTGGAGGCTCCGCCCAGCGAACGCGTGGGCGGCACCACAGGGGCCTTAACCAGGTAGGCTGGGGGACCAACTAGCTTTGGAAAGCAAGAAGATGTGCTTCTGGTAACATGGATACCTTGCTTTCCGGTATTTGTATAGTTTACAAAGAGCTTTCCTGGGCATTGTTTTGTGTATTTGGGGAGAGGAAGAAAAGGGGAGTTAGTTGATGGAAGGTTTTCCATTGCAAAATCTCACCTATTGATAACTTTCAGCTTAAGCGAATGAGAGCAAGGTTGTCACTGATCTCTGCAGTAAGTAGAAACCAAGCAAGAGGACAAAATCACGAGCATTCTCCTGTAGATAGAACTAGAACCAAACTGACTGAGGTCGTTTCATGCTACCTGACTGGTCATCCCTGCCCAAGAAGGAGGAGACAGTAAGACAGGTTAGTTAGTATAATATCAGGCAGTTAGGAATTCCCTGGTAGACTGAGCAAAGATAAGATTAAAAAACTGGCCATTCCTTAAACTAGCCATTTCTTTCAAAATTATAAGGTAACTCCCTCATACTGGAACGGAGACATCAATCATGCCCCAGAGCAACAAAGCCATTTTGGAGGACATTACGAAAGGCCCCCTCAAGGCTAAGCAACAGAACAAACCTGATAAACACCTTAATAACAGGTACCAGTATTTCAGCATTCCCCCTTCCAGGCAGAAAAAAAGTATAAAACTCAAGCCTTTTACCCTAGCTAGTGGGCATCCCGTTTTCCGGGTACCCCCTCCCTCTCGGGAGCTGTAGCCTTTCTCTTGCTTTAATAAAACTATCCTTTGCTACAAACTCTACCTCTCTGGCCCGTGTCTCCATTCTTCAGCTTCATGAGACTACGACCCCGGCACAAGAAATATCCTACATCAACAGCAGGAGGGTGAGAAGTGTATGTGGGTACAGGAGTGGGCAGGCATGTTTGCGACTGTTTTTCACCAAGACACGTTCCAGAGCCAACCATCGTGTTTTGTGATTGTTGATTTAATTGTTCGTCTGTTCCCACTGTGAAACTGTGTCTCTTACCTCCATGTATGTTAGAGTTTTACCAGAGTATGGAAGGTCCTTTATCTTCATATTTTTGGCAACTGCTTTGTAATTTGACACAATTTGGGTGCTTAGTAATATTGAATGCCTCTAGGTTAGGACACAGCTATTACCCACTTAGAAAGAGAGGACGTTAAGTGGTTCACAGTAGAAACTGCTGGCAGCACACTTAGAAAGTAATTTTCAGCCATTCCTTATCCTTAAAGGGGTTATTTTAACACAGGGCCTTAGGGGAACAGTGAAGGGGAACTGAGGGAGGGTTACCAAAAGACACTAAGAAGCTTATCAAAGGAAGGATGCCACGTGTATATGCAAGGAATTTCTTTAAAATGAGGATCCGAACTAGGATTTTCTGAGATTTGAGTATTATTCACGTCATGGAATGAATAGAGCACATTATAGACACTCAAATTTTACAGCAGTGAATGGCGGAACACTTTAGAAGGCATAGACTTCTGTCGATGTTATTAAAAAGGAATGAGCCTAAATTAGGATTTTGTAGCAGGCATCTAAATTAAGAAAGGAACACTCAATAACAGATTACTATCTGGAAATGGGAGAGCTAATTAGCATAGTATAATTTAAGAGAACTATATTTTTAAAATAGAGCAGCGAGTATATAGAATTTTAAAAGTGAAATCTTATTACTATCTTACGTTTGTCTCCTCTTGGATAAGCTGTGAAGTGGTAGCATTGACACTGAACCAAGAGCTCCTTGTACTTCCTGCCTGGGGGCCTTTGGGGTGAAGCGGAAACTTCTCTGAGCCCCCGTTTCTTTACATGTAAAGAAAAATGAGCCTACTAGTACCCACCTCATCAGGCTGTATAGATGAATAATTCTCCCGGCAATTTATAAATTGTAAAGCCACGCAAATCTAAGGTGTATTGCTCCTTTGTCTTACTGCTATTCTGATCTTTGTTCTTCATATTGTCTTTCATTTCCGCTTCAAAATGGATTTTTGGTGCGGGTCCATTTTATTGCGAGCACTACAGAATGGGGCAGGAGGGTTCCTGCCTTTGAATCGGGGTTGCTCGAGGCAATCTCTTTCAATGATAAAGTATAATTTTTTCCCTTTCTCCTTTCCCTTCACAAATACTGACTGCAGTGGAACTGAGCTACATGATGATGTTAAGGCATTACGGGAGCTTAAGCAGTGTGTCCTGGAGGAAGGAATGCTCCAGCTGAGTTCTCCACGGTGCCTAAGGCAGCCAGGGGACAGGGAGAGGTGCCAGAAGGCCGAGTAAGGGCCCAGGAGGCATAGAAAAGCCCTCATACTACAGAGTCCCTGAGTGGCTTGGTATTGCCATATTGTAAAGACAGGGAGAAAGCTGGAAGACGCTGGAGCAGGAGGCCCAACAGGCCTTGCTGGAAAGCTTGGACTTCCCCTGAGCACAAGGAGGATTTACTGGAGTGGGTTAAGCAACAGAGCGAAGGGGTCAGGTCAGAAGTTTAAGTAAATTTTGATCCCTTTTTCTAGGAGTAAGAGAAGCAAGTTTCCATAAGTGCCAGAATAAGTTAATTCATTCAGAAGGCTTCTAGGTTATTAATATGCCTGTTAAAGAGGTTTGAATTAATCAAAAACAATTGAGAAATTGTATTGAATGGGTTAAAAGTAAATTGGTTGTTTCCAGTTTAAACGATCGCAATAAATGTCTCTCTACACACACGCACACACTCACACACACAGAAACACGATGTGAAGTAGGGTGGGCCTCAGAGGGAGGAGACGGCAAGTACAGAAGACTCACATTTTGGCTGTAAAGGAGGAGAAAGACTCTATTTGGGGGCGAGGGAATGGGTCAGGTAGAGAGTTATTACTTAACATGAGAGAGGGTTCACCAAGTTCACGGGCCTAGGGTAAGGAGCAGGGAGAGAGTTTGACACTGCAGGAGAGCAGATGGGTCCCAAGATTCTGATTCAGGTGGGGCTTGAGATTCTGCTTTTCTAACAGGATCCCCAGGAGATTCATGAAGTTTGAGAAGATCAGATATAGAGCCTTGTTCCAGGACCAGCAGCCTGGGCATGACCCGGGTGGGGTACTGGTCGGGGTGCAGAGGCTCAGGCCCCACCCAGGCCTTTAGCATCAGATCTGCAGCATCACGAGACCTCCAAGAGATTCCTCGGTTCATTCATGAAGCTCTGCTTCAGGTACTATGAGGCCAGGATGCCTCCTGAATGAGAGGGAGGTGGGAAAGAGTCCCTGGGAGAATTTAAAGAGGACGCTGATAAAGGATGTGTGAAAGACTTGGCAGGTGGCAGATTCCAAAAGCCCAGAAGAGGTCATAGACCATCCACAGTGACATCCACGTGCTTTGGATACAAATGTACTGAGTGAAGTTTCTCTGGTTTGGTTGTGACATTTGTGAAAAGACTTTCTATTACTACATAGCGTGCAATGCTTCTGTTCAAATGTCTTCATGTGAAAAAACAGCATATTGCTTTTTCTCCTTTGTTTTAGCTGATTGATTAATTTGCAAAACATTTTCTCAATTTCTGTGATAGACTCTGTATTATTCAGGATTCTCTGGAGAAACAGAACCAAGTGTGTGTGTGTGTGTGTGTGTGTGTGTGTGTGTGTGTGTGCGCGCGCGCGTGCGCGCACACACGTGCATAAAGAGAGAGAGATTTATTGTAAGGCATTGGTTCATACAGCTCTGGGGCCTGACAATTCCAAAATCTGCTGGGTAGGCTACAGGCTGGAAGCTCAAGGCAGAGCTGATGTTGAAAGGTCAAGTGTAGGATTCACTTTCGCTCAGGGGAGGTGGGTCTTCTGTTCTATTCAGCCTTCAAGCTGATGGGAGAGGTCCACTTACATTGTGGAGGGTAATCTGATTTATTCAAAATCCACCAATTTAAATGTTAATCTCATCCAAAAACATCTCATAGAAACATCCAGAATAATGTTTGACCACTGTGGCCCAGCCAAGTTAACACATAAAATTAGCCATCACAGACTCAGATCTTTCTGGGGTCATCTAATTCTTAACCTGCTACTAAAAAGGGTTGTGGTTCAGTAAGTCCAATAATCATTGCTATCTTTTTATTTGAAAATCCAGAAAAGAAAATTCAATAATATTCTCTACTTTATTAGAGCAGTCCAATTTATTGGGGGGAATTCTAAGCTCTGCTTCTAACTGGCCACTCAACAACCTTACTTACATACCAAACAAAGCCACAACAGCAAGTATAGACTGCTGATTCTATCAAAACCTCATCAATCCTGTATAAATGTCACCTCTTTCTTGGGCCACCCTGTTCTCTCTGGTTCTTTATTTCTCTCATCTCTGAACTCTTAAGAAGGATGCTGGTCAGGCCATCAGGGAACTACCAACGCCTTGCATTGTGAGTCTTTACAAGTTTATTCAGGTGGTGACATCAAGTGGGAACACTCCTTTTAAATCTGTTATACCAGCATTTATCCATCCGAATGAATGTTTTCTTCTTCAGAGCAATACTTTATTCTAGTGGCACTGCCATTGCTCAGGGCATTTTAAAAATTCTTTAGAAACTCCCTCCAGAAATGTATGCTCATCCTTTTGAATTTCTTAAGTAAGGGCATAACTTTGCTTTTTGGTAATAGATTATTTGAAAGAGTAAAAAAGACATGTGCGCTTATAATTAACGTAGGCGGTCCAGTTGGGCAATATCCTTCAGCCAAAAATTAAACTATAACCCTGAGGTAATAAGAAAATGCCCTTATTCTGTAATGTTGGATTTGCATTCTTGTTGGAATAAATCAATAGCCTCCAAGGTGAGCCTTTCACTGTGAGCTGAGCACAATCAGTCATTTGGATAAATCAACCCTTACAGATTTGTTTTACAACTAAAATTTACAGTTATACTTCATTAATTTTCTCTCCTGAAGTGGATCATAAGCATCATAGATGTTTTTCTTCTTGAACTTCTCTCACAACACTTACTTTATTGTTCTTATTAGCTGTACACCTGTCTTGTCTTACAAGACTCAAAGCTCCTTGAACACTCAGGCCATGCATCATGCACCTTTTTATGCCAGTGTCCGTCTCAGAGCACGGCACGTGGTAGACACTCCTATGTGTGGAATGAATAAATGAGGGAATGAATGAATTGAAATAATTGCTTAGGTCACTGTTGCCTTATGAATTTCTATTGATCTTAAACTGTTAAAATACCTGACGTAGGCCACATTTACACCCAAATTGAAGCCACTTTTACCCAGGAAGATCTGTCCCCATACATTTTTCACCAATTTTAAAGGATTGCCCAATATCACTTCTGTGTGATGTTTGCTAATACATTAATTAGCAAGGTGTTTATATTTCCTTATAGGCAGTCAATACAATTTTGCTTAGTAACTATTGAATAACTGAATGCATTTGGTGTACAATTGACTGAAAAAATTTTTTCAATGATAAAAAGAAATCTTCCAGACCTTTAGTCCATTCCTAGAGTGTTACTGATATGTTTTCTTAACTCAGCTACTTTCAAAAAATCTTGTCAACTTCTATTTCTTTTGGAAATAATTTATTACTTGATATTCACCCAAGATTTGTTTGTACTGGCCATAGAACTTGGTTTTTTTTGTTGTTTGTGTTGTTGTTGTTAATACTCTTCATTTTGTATCTAGTTGAATAACAACTGTCTATTCTCTTCTCTGAAAGATCATATAAAATTTTGTTTCTTTTCTCCAAATACCATATAGCTCAGCTCCTCAAAAGACTCTTCTTGAGAAAGTGGCTGTGAAAAACCACACTTCTCACTGTAGCGTAGTAAGTTCCTAGGCAAATACACAAAGCACAATGGAAAGATCACACACACACACACTTAGTCACAAATTTAATCAACTTTATGTTGAATGATAACAGTTTTAATTGCACAAAGATAGTACATAACATTTCAAATATGAAAGAAAGGACAATTAGTAGTGCCATCAAAATACAGGGACGTTTTTTAATAAAGGATAGAAAAATTATACTCAGAACCCTTAATTATTCTTCATTCTAAGCATATGTAGTGATTCATTCATGCAGGTTTTTATATGTAGATAGGATGATTTTTTTTTCTTTTTGAAGAATTCCATTGTAGCTATGAGACGAGAAATGCATTGATGTAACAATGTATTATGGTAATGTTATAGCTTTCTTTTAGTGTTAGGATTGCTAAAAGCTTATTTAAAATATCCAACTGACATAATGTGCTTTCAATAAAGAGGACACTGCTGTATGCATTAGCCTTCCCCTGTCACTGTTTGGTACCACATTGCCTGGCCTTTTCTACACAGGCCACTTTGTTAAGAGGGAGGCCACAGGAGTTCAAATTTTAGGCAGTGGGTGGTGGGGTTACCATGCTATCCGCCTAGTCAGGTGCCAGCACACCTTACCTCCAGTGGTTCTCCTAAGGTATCCTACAGGCAGGATGAGAAACATACTTGCCTTCCAGCCTTTTGGCTCAGCCAAGCTTGCAAAAGGGCAGCACAGCTAGCCCCATACTGGCTGGATCTGGGTTCAGACGAAGGTGTCCCAAGCAGAGGGCTAAACCCTCAGTTATGAAGCATCATGGGTCAACACCCAGAATGGACTGCTCTGGCTGCCAGGGGAACTCCCAGGGTGCCCAGGTCCTGAGCAAAGCACTCAGGGTGGCAGGACCCCACCGCTCCCTCTGCCTCTTTGGAGAAGAGTTCAAAGGAGAGGGTGTCCCCGCCCATGGGGCCAGAGGCCTCCCACCTTGAAGTCAGCCGCATCTGGCCTGCCAGGGTGGCACTTATGGAAAGGGGAGACCGGAGGCTCCGAGGGGCAGAGGGGGACCCGTGGGTAGAAGGGCCTGCTTCCCACCTCTTCCGGGTCCCCTCAACCTTCAGTTCTGGCTCAGGCCTGGCATGTAGGAGGAACCGCAAAACATTCAGTCCAATCAGAGAGATTGGCTGGGTGTCTCATCAGATTCCAGAACACTTGGAAACGGTAATTCTGCCAAAAGAGGCTCCGTCAAAGATGATCTGGGTGACAGATTGCAGTTAAAAACTTCATCTATTGAACCTGAAAGAAGTAAAGCAGGCGTGATTACCATCACTGGAAAACAGAAACAAAACCAGCAGCGGCTCCAGAACACATACAGCATCACCATTTCAATGATTACAAGAGAATCCTGGCTTCCTCAGAAATACTCAGAAAAGTAAACAGAAATGGCTGCCCTTTGTTGCCAGCAGGACATGGACTGCCATGTGCTTTTCCGTGAGCTGGAGTAGATTTGCAATGAGTTGCATGAGCCCTTTCTAACTTGATGGCAAAAGGCCCACAGTGGGGACATCCTAGGACAAAGATCAGTGTTTGAGAAGGAGGTGAAGCTGGGCTACCTGATTCACCCAGGCAGGGCCCGTGGAGGCCACAGCTGCTGCTGCACCTTGGCTGTGCCCTCCGCCACGCATAATGGGAGCTCCACTGCTCTGGAGTGGCCGTGGCCCCAGGCTGGCTGTGCGTAAACATCAAGGAAGCATTACCCACCTTTACATGCCCCTGGGTGTCCCCAGGATGGCTGTGGATACCCTGGGAAGCCTACATGACCAAGGGTGAGCATTGGGGAAACAGTAAAACCCTGCCCAGGCCAGTGGGTGGCATTGGAGGAGTGTCACAGGAAGGCATCTTGGACTGCTACCACCAGCCAAGTTCATTTTCCGCCAAAAAGATTAGTATATAACCCCCACACCTGTCTGCAATGGAGCAGAGCACGGAGGCATCTTTGTAAGGAACACCCAGATAGAGAAAGCAAAACAATTTGGAGGGAGGGAGGGAAAGAGGGAGGGGGGAAGGAAAGAGGGAGGGGAAGGACAGGAAGAGGAGGAGGAAGAGGAGGAGGAGGACAGACAAAAAGACAGAGATAGGGTGCGCAGGAAGAGAATCAAAAAGGGAAGGTGACAGGAATGAGGAGGGAGAAGAAGGGAGAGGCAGACACAGAAAGGGGCTACTTCCAAGATAAGAAATAGCTATGAGGAAGCATTTTTGCTACAAACATTGGAAGAAAATAACTATCATTAAATATAATTAATGAAGACTCTGTATTTTACAGCTGAACTTTTTGAAAATTGTAGATTCATAGAGAGTGGGGTTTTTTTGTTTGATTTGTTTTTGCAATTAACAGCAAAAGTCCTGGTTGAATGAAATTTCTATCCAGCCCTACTAGCACAGGACAGAGAGAACTGGCTCAGAGAAGAGAGGCAGAGCTAGGTGTGGCCTCTGTCACCCTCTCAGCCACATCAGTCTGAAGTCTCACCAACCCCTGGGGAGCAGGCACTGGACATTAAAATTTAGAATGCACCTCATATAATATGTTATTTGTTAAGTGAAATGATCTCGAGTTATTCTTTTGTGGTCTTACAAACTATGGAGAATTCTTCCAATGTTTTTGGTTTTTATTGACATAAAATTGATAAATATCTCTACCATGTAGATTCCTCCCTCAACTGACACTTTTTTTTTACATTCTGTTGCCCCAGCTATGCACATCAGGAAAGCACCATTCTTTCACAATATTTAAATAATTGCTGATAATATTTAAATGAGCATTAATATGTATTTAAATCAATAATATATTGAAAAATTATTTTCTGGGTGTGCTACACAAGATGGCTGCTATATCAGTAAATGTTACGGAGCTTGAAAGGAAAAGCAGTGTATTTCTTTTTGGTAGTAAACATTTCTTACTTCTTACTGTATAAATTCTGTTACGTTGCATTTCCCCTCTATCTGGAGGCCTGACCTTGTCCATTCATTGTCTCTCCTCTCCCATGATATTATTCTACCCTTTATTTAAGTACCTTCCTTGGGTACTTGAGAATTAACATACCTCTGGAAGTTACGCTGAATTTTCGGTCAGAGAAACTGCTCCTTCGGATTAAAGGTTCACTCATCTTTTCCAGGAATAATTTAATTGTCTCCTTCTTTTCTGGACTTGTACTTGACAAATTCAGAACCTTTCCATTCACCTTTACAGTGGAATTGCTGAGCCCAAACCAATAGAAGAAATCAAATAACGCATCGGCTTTGAATTCATAGGCAAAGCTCAAATTTTCTCCATTAAGCACCTCACATCCCGGAGGGAAAAAACTCTTTACTGCCTCTTGAAAATCAAACTGAAAGAGAGAGAAGCATTTGATGAATTTCATGCATATGACGATGATGATATATCTCAGAATTCTATATTATTATAGAATTATACAATATTATAGCAATAACAACTGCCCAAATGTCCAAAATGTCAACCTCTTATTTCTCTTTTATTCTGACAGATATTTTTAAACAGTCGCCTTTAATTTTTGCATTCGCAGCATATTCCATCTACAGACCTTGAGGTGCTTGGTCAAGTTGACATTCATCCTTACACCATTTCTAATAAGTTGCTAGAAACTCAGCTCATTTTATTGGTGATGATGAAGCAACAGAAACTGTCTATGTCTGGATGCAGCTACATTATAGCTGGGCTCCAGAGACTCAGCCGACACAAAGTGCCCGAGCCCTGGGTGTGCCGCTGCCCTGGACCCAGGCAGGCTAGTGCTCACCTGAAGCCGGTAGCTTTCTCCAATCACTGAGGAAATGACCATGTCCATCCCTTGCTCTATTTGCCTTCTTATCTTGGGATGCCTTGTGTTCACGAGAAATGCGTATGTTCTTTCTAGAAATGAGGAAGCAGAATTCAAAAAGAAGTGTGCATGAGTGACATACACGTACTTAGTATTTGACAAAGCAGTGATTCCCACCGTGTTTGGAGATTTTACTCATTTATAGCCTCTCTTGTCACAGAGCCTCACCAGATTTCTGGAAACGTTTTGGAGTTTTGCAGGTGGGAAAGAAGCAGGTCAGAAAACCAGCTCCCCCGCGGCTGCACTTTGTCACTCTTGTCTGAGAAATGGTAAGTTCCATTCCATCATCATCACAGGTGAGAATAGAGCCTCTACCCGTGTGAAGCCCGGGGAGCTGAAGTGAGAACGCAGGACAGCTGGTTTTCCTGTCACCGCCTTGCTGGGTGTTTGAACTGTTACTTGACTGTCACCAACATGTCCTCATTTGTGAAGCAGAAAATCAGTCAAGTCCAGGAAAGTAGGCTGCCCCATGCCTCTCCTCCCCCATTGTCCCCTCCTTCCCCAGAGGCATGGCTTTCTTCTGCCAAAGGGCTGCTGGAGGGCACTATGGATCCACGCAATTCTCCTCCATGCTCCAACAATCCCCAGCGGGAAGGAAAGTCCTCCCATTGCTTAAATTATACGATGTCTGCGTCCTGCCACAGTTGGGTTTTTGTCATTATTGTTTTTCTTTTTCTTTTTTTTTTTTTTGTAATCTCTTAAATCCCATTCTGTCCAATCCTGTATAACCTAAGCAAAGGGAGGGCTGTTTACTCATTAGGAAATATGAAATACTATTAACCAATAACCCCTTAACTTTTCCAGCCCCCAGAAGCCAGCTCTATGGCCTTAATTACTCTAGTGCTTTTTCTAGGGAGACACATAACATGGATTGTCACCCTCTGTTTAGGAGATTTTGAGAACTTAGCATTTTGCCTTGGCTTTGAGCACCAGACCTGCAGTCCACCAGTGACACATGTTACATCCCTGAGGAACACATTTTGAACTAAGCTGTGCACTGGTCTTATTTATTTTTCCTACCCCCATCTTTCTCTCAAATTGTTTTTGGGGTACTTTAGCTAGAAACTACTTCATGTTCTCTTTGAGGTGAGATATAATGAAACAAGCAAGCTATTTTGTACCTTGATTTAACTTTCACACAAACCAAGCCAGGAACTTTAAGTTCATTACCTGCTCTGGGCTAGCATACTCCACAGTTGTACTGGTTGCACAGGTTGTGCACTGCACAACTCTAAATGACGCCAGTCACATTCTTAGACATTGGCTATTTGTATATTTATTATGACAAACTTCTGGAAAGAATTAGTAAATTGTCTTGTGCTAATGGTGGCTTTTTCTAACTTGCACGAAAGTACAGTTTATGATACCAGCAGGGCCAGATGTGTTGCCTTAATCACAATTTTCATTTAATTTAAATTTGACCATCTTAAGCTTTTGTATCACAAAATCTCTCTTCACTTCACGGCTTTCCTCACAATGAATCCACACCTGGGTTTCTGTATGTCCTTCCACAACAACTGTGTACCTTTCGTAGGCCACCCACACATACCTCCTTGTGCCATTCCCCGTACTGTCATTAAAATGTTAAAATGGAGAGGTATCTATTCTTTCTTAAGATTCCTCCTAAGAGATGGACTAGGATGTGTACTTGATGCGTCTGTGAATTACATTCCTAGAGAGCTCTCTGGATTCCTGGCCATCATCAAGCCAAATAAGATCAGGGGCTCGGAAGCGCTAACGAGCTGCTTGTTACCGCGCGTGGGCTGCTCCGGCTCCCTCCCGCTGACAGCATCTTGACTTTGAATTAGGAAGTGAGAAGAGAATCTGAATGATGGGATGAAATGAGCAGATAATCAGCTCCAGGAATCTGAATGAGGAAGTTTCTTTAGAATTTGTAGATCATTTCTTATTACCTTGGACTCACTTTAAGAATGCTAGTTAGAAGTTAGCTTAAGAAATTCTATTTTTATCATTATGTCCAGGGTTTACATCACATGTCCCCCTGAACAAGAGGAAGAAGGGGAGATGGATATTTTCATATTAGAATTTGAATTAATATAGTTGTTATTAGTTAGTCTGATTTCTTGGAAGAAGCAATAAAGAGACATTTCTAAAACTGAAATTCAAATATCATAGCCTGAGACATAAAAGCATCTGCAAGTATTATTTTCTCTTCATTTTCTCATCTACAAAATGGAGATGGCATAAGCACCTGACAGGTACGATGACCACGTGTCCTAGTTCACCTGAGTCAGTCCCAGTTTACACCTTTTTCCCAGCATGATTATTAACAGCATCTACTTTCATGTTCCCATTTGGATGATAAGCCCTGCCAGGCTACTGTGCCAATTAATGACATTAGAGCATGCCTGGAATACCTGAGTGTTTGATAGGTGGTAGACATCTTCGTGGAGTCATCTTCATCACTCCAGTCATTTTTGAAACCACTGCAGGCTCAGAAATCTCAAAGACAGATGACCAAGGCCCAGGATCATGCAGAGGTTTGCTCTGCAGCCTTGTGCTGTGCTTCAGATGGCCTCACATGCCAGGCTTCTCACCCCCAGCCTTGTCACTAGCCAACATCCACCCTGCTGTCTCCATGCCCAACTGCTATGGCATCAGCATGCCACAGCCCAAAGCCCAGCAAGACAGAGTCAATCCAAAATACGTATATACCAACCTTCTGAGGTGTCCGTTCTGGTCAGTACATTAACAAAGAACAGCATTGGTTTGCTCAATACAGTTTCCCTGTAGTCTTTATAATCGCAGTAGTTGGTTAGTTCCACAAATCTATAAAAAAAAAGTAGAAGAGGAAACCATATTGTAACCATAGAAGTAGATCCCTCTCTCCTGGTCAGCTGAGACCAACATGCAATCCAAAGGTGACCATGGTCCTTAAGGTAGCCTGGTACCAATGCTTGGCTCTCAAATGATAACCAGTACCATCTATCTTTTGGGCTGTAAGAGTTAATTTGAAGCTATGAGTTCTATGTCTCCCTAAACTGAGAATGAATTGCACTCAATAAGTAGAATTACGTGGGTCTTCTCCAATGCAGCCATCCTGTCTTACTAGTTGGTCTGAAACTCCTTTTCTTCTCCTCTCTCTCTTACCTTCCCTAATCTCAAAATAAACCCAGCTCTCTCCATAGATTACGCATAAACTGATATTTATAGAATGAAATCACATCTCCCTGATCCTGAGCTTATATAATAAAAAAAAAACAACAACCAATGTTGTACTTCTGCCCGGGGCCCTGTTAAATTTAGTTTCCTTGGTTTTCATTCACTGTTCCAGCTTGGGAAGAGCCTTTGCATTTTGACTCTGTCATCCAGTAGGCCAGCGTTCTCTCCCTACTCTACTAAATTTCCAAGCAGTCTTTCTATGTCTCTACTCGCATTGTTGATAAAAAGGCAGATCCAAGTGTAAATTAGCTTCCTTGAAGAAGAGGACTAAATTTCTAACCCAACCCAAGCTCAGGGTTGCATGGACATAGGCAGCCCAAATGGCATCCAGTCCAGCCAGCTGCAGGACGCGGCTGCCTCCCCAGTGTCAGACATGAAAATGACAGCCGTGGAGAGCTCCCTGCAGCAGGGAGCTGTGGCCACACCATCCTCGCAGCTTCCCTTCCCTCGCCCATGTCTCACAACCCGCTCAATGGGGCCAGCGCACTTTAACCCAGGCCTAGGTCAAGAGCATGTGGGAGAAAATCTACCCCCAAGTCAGAAAAACACAGCTTCCACTTGTCTGTCTCACAGCTTGGTTTCTTAGAAATATTCGTCATTATCTTTTTCTGGGCTTGTCAGACTGGGTTTTGAGAGCTTTTAAAACCTGACCCTTGATGGAGCTTCTAAAATGCTTCCTATCTTCTGATTAACATGCTCTGAACATAGTCTCCACCTCCCAACCCGTGGGCACTGGTGGTGGTCAGGTGGCTGGGGTGGGGAGGGGACACAGGGCTGGTGCATTCCCGAGGAGGAAAGGGGGTGCAGGCATTGATGTTCAGGGGTGTGGGTGAGGAATACAGGAGTAGGGGAAAGGAGTGTGAGTGGAGAAAGGGATGGGGACCTGGAGAAGTAACAAGGGGTGGCCTGGGTATGAAAGTGCAGACTGGAAATTTTGTACTGCTCCTCTTCCGACCCTCCCCCGCCCTTGCCCTCACTTGGGCAGAGCAGTGTGGAGGGAGAATGGGGTGAGGTGGGGCATGTGCAGGGGGAAAGCACTTGTGTTCCTTATCAGCAGACAGAGAATTTTCCTGTTCTTTGTCCCAACTGACCATCTGCCAAAAAGTACTGGAGAAAGGAAGCAAGGAGGAAGGAGAAAGGGGATCACCATTTGTGGGGTCCATTCATTAAGTGATATTCGTTAAGCAGAGATAATATGCTGGGTACCAGGTAGGCATTCACATGGGGCCTTATCACATCTGAGGAGCGCAGGGCCTAGGGAGCGGGAATTGGATAGAGGATGGCAGTGCAGGGGGTTCCCCTGGGCTCTCCCACTCCCTCTGCCACCCAGCTGCCAAGGAGAGGCAGGCAGGAGCAGCCTGGGAAGGGCAGAGGTCTGTGGTTGCAGGGGTGGGGAGGGGGAGGGATGCAGAAGGAGAAAGGCAGATGAGAACTCTTGTAGCAGAAGAAGAAAAGGGCAAGACTGATTGAAGTAAACATCAAAAAGATAGATGCATGATGCTGGGGCGGGAGTCAGGTGCCACCTGTGAGCCATCCAAGGTGGATTTTCACATTCTCCCACCTTGTTTGTCACAGAGTTAATTTATAGTCATTTGAGTATGTAATATTTCCCCCAAAGTGACTCCTCTGCTTTCTCCACATCCCCAGTCTGACTGTCACCATGGAGTGTGAGCACGGGGTGGGGGTGGGGGGGGTGCAGTGCAGCCAGGAAATCTGTACTGTCGATTACTATTCTGATGACAATATGTGCCTCCACCTACAAAATCGAATGACACCCAATGGAAAGCGTCATCGGTAGGAAAAAGGTAAAAATCTCAACTTAGAAATGATCTCTGGTTATGAAAATAATCGGTTTCCCCCAGAATTCTGTGGAAGGCTTTTTGGAATGCTATGGCGCATGCTCAGGGGAAGGGGCGGATGGGGCTTCTGGATAGCCACATGCTGAGTCTAATGCTTGACCTACACATGAGTTATCCCTTTCTTTTAGAGTCTGAATTGATAAGATGCCCTGAATAATAAAACTATGCTCTACATAATTGAATCCCTCTTTGATGATTTAGAGGCACTTTTAGGATCTTCACGGGCCTGTAAACATCATCACAGAGCATGCCAGCTATCACTGTACCAGAGATGTGCGAAAATGCTGCTGCTTATGTGAGAGCTCTGATAACAGAACTCATAGTCAAGAGATGGCAGCAAGAGCCCTACTTAATAAACTCTCTATTCAAACCAGGTTGCAAATAAGCAATACCTCCTTCAGTCATCCATTCCCAGCCTCCCGGTTATGGTCCAATTGTTAAACACCTCTAAATTCCAGTGAGGTAAAGAAATGTGAGCATTCCTTTGGAATTCACTGTTATAAAATATGGATATATAAGTCACTAAAATACAAAAAGACAGTTATTTAAGTATCTGACATCCAATCCCTCATTTTATTTTAAGAGGAACCTTATTGGATTGCTTTAGGGACTATTTATTTCATCTTTAATCATGCACATTCCTGAATTACTGTGCAAATATTGCTTCTGTGTACTGGGTACTTATCATATTTGCTGACGTTATCATTAGGGAGGAAAAGCAAACAGTTGAAGACTGTTCCTTTAAATGCTCATTTCTTCATTGCCATTACCCTGGCCCAAAAATGCTTCTTTCTAGACCTGACTCCAGTCCAAAGATCAGAGGGGCAGGACACTGTGGTGGAAAGCATAGTGATTCAATCTGTATCATGTCCTAATTGACTGGCTGTATGAACTCAGCCCCACAGCCACAACCCACTGTGACACTGAGTGAGTTACTTAACCTGCCTGAACCTGTGCCCTCATCCATAAAGGGGCATAACAGTATTGCCTTCTGTTTGATGACTCAGTGTGGTGCAAGCAGCATAGACATATGTCCTTGGGCCCATAGTAGCTGCTCAACAAACATGATTAGTCTCTTTAATCCTGGCCAACTCTGCTGCCCTCAGAATAAAGTGCTGTAAGATTCTGACACCCAACCAGGGATGGGTTCATTTGAGTTACCAGGAAAGGAGGACATGAATAGCTGAAAAAAATAAGTGAGCAAGAATTTCCCCTTCCTTGCTCCAATTTCTATCCTTGCCTTTTCTGTTTGGAAGGCTAAAAGGGACAGCTGAAAGAAGGCAACATCTGAAAGGCGGGACAGAGACAGAACACTGTATTGTTGCTTCTAGCAAATCAGGACTGGCTGAAAGATCACCCACCTTCCAAGACACCTCCTTTTTTCTGGTGTTACCTTCTGGTTTCATATCATCTCTAGCCTGATCTGAAGAGCTGCTCCAAATTTCCCTTGGCTCTGACAATTTACTGCTCAGAGACAAATAGGAATTCATAACCATGGCTTTCATCTGAGGGTGTGTGTGTTCATTTTAAAAAAATGGAGAAAGGAGCGGAGAAAAAGAGGAACACATATTGGAATAGTCCTCATGTAGAAGGCCCAGAAATTGCTTAGAGTGCTGTGACACTAAGCAAAAGCTTGCAGGGACATTCTGCCTTTGGGAGCATGCAGGATGGCTCTTCAGGGTTTCTAGTGTTAACTTGATAGTTTTATACAGCGCCCCGCCCCAAGTTCTCCAAAGTTCCTTCTCCTCCACTTCCTCCTATCCATCTGTCCCTCCTCCAGTGAAATTAAGCAAAATTTTTATTAGATTTATCACTCTACTGTCTGTGACTCAAATCAAGGATACACACCATTGGCACATTCATTCATTCATCAATTATTGATGCACAGTGCATGTGAAACAGTGCATGTGATGGGGCACAGAATGATTCATTCATTCATTCATTCATTCATTCATTCATGCAACAAATGTTTGCTAAACACTGACAATGTGCCTGGTACTAGGGACACAAGATGAGAAATGAAATAGTCTTGCTTTCAAGAAGCACATTGAGGAGACAGATAAGAAAATGCACCATTTCAATAAGAAATGATAGCTGTCTAAGATCTTGCTGCTGAAAGTGTGGTCCATGGACCCACAGCACTGGCATCATTTGGGAGCATGTAAAACTACAGATTCCCAGGCCCTTCTCCAGGTTTATTCAACCAGAATGTACGTTTCACAAAATCTCCAGGAGACCTACATGTGCACTCCAAGTTCAGGAAGCACTGGTCTAAGACATGGTCCCTCTGCTCAAAGGCTTACAAATGAATTAATTGTTCGAATATACAAATGCCAGAGGGATGTGTGGTTCTCTGCATCATGTGTCCATGATCCACAGGGTTACACTCCAATTATTTAAAATAACAAGGAACAAAGTGGGAAGGACCTGAGCTTAGAACCATTTATTGAGCTGAGACAGGCACAAGAAGCAGGTTGGGTCTGTCAGGCCAAACATCCCACCAGTGGGTGGGCAAAACAGGAGGGAGACGTGGACCCCAGGGGGAGTCATGGCTTAGCCAGGCATTGGGGACTTTGGGGTGGTCACACCCAGGCCTCCAGGTGGGCATGTGGCAAGGACCAGGTGAGCTGAGAGCAGAAAGCAGAGCAGAATGTGTCAGGAAGTCCAGGGCAAGGCTCCCAGGGAAGGAAGGCAGGGGAATTTAGCAGTGATGCTTGCCAAGACTGGTGGAGCTGGCTCTGTCAAAGGCCTAACTTATAGCTTCAATTAATTCTGGTCATTTTTATTTTTCATACTCTGTTCTCAAATACGAAGATTTCTTTTGAAATCGTCACAAATCTGATTTCTAATTCAGTTCCTCCCAGTCCCCTGCTAATGGGTTGGAATTTTAAATTCATTAAGAAAGGAAGAAATTCTTGCCGGGAATGGTTTTTCAAACATTCAAAGCCCTCACTCTTTCTTTGTGTGGACAAACAAGGTTTGGCCAGCAGCTTTGACGAAGGCATTTTAAATGTCATTTTGGTTGCTTGCCCCTCTTGGCTGCACCCCACCCACAGGGCGGCTCAGTGCTGCTGTCTTTTCCAGTAGCAATGGCATTGTAACAGAGGCCGACTTCTCATCTCCGAGCCAAGCTCTAGACTGCACTCGCCCACATCCTGGCGATCAGTGAGTGCCACAGCACAAATATGACCTTCCCTCCCGCCCCCAACACACACACAACAGACACACAGACGCACAGACGTGCATTACACTCACTTTCCCAGAAAGTCATCTGCCCACACCACGGCCCACAGGACCCTAGGTTGGACCTTACTAGGCTTTGCTCCCTGCGTGTCTACGGTTGGTTGATTTATTTATTTGAAACACTAAGGGACGCCAAAGATAAGTCACTTTGAACTTTTACACGCTTCTCCACTGGATCTCTTCACTAAATAAAGCTCATAGTGCACAAAACTGAGTACCCCCCCTCCACCCCATTCCCCACCCCACCGCATCTAAAGCCAGGGTGAGTCTCTCCTCTGTAAACACGTCCGAAGGGCGTGCCCCCAGTTAAGAAGCCAGAAAGGGAAAATCACCGGCCAGTGACGCACTCCCCACCCTACACTCCCCCGCGCGCCTGCCCGGGTTGTCCCCCTGGGAGATTTCTAGCACAGCTGCAGAAATTCAGGGCAAGGCACAGAAAAGCCAGGGCGGGAGAGCTCTGCGGCCCCCAGTGACGTCAGAGAACAATCTAGACGCGGCACCAAGAAGGAGAGGCCAGCGGGGGCTCCCGGGGACCCGGCGGCCAGGACGCGCTCCAGGGAGCCCACCCACCTCTTGATGTAGCCGCCGAGGTGGCAGAGCTGCCCGTCGAGGCGTACGAGGCCGTCGCCGAAGACGTTGAAGCCCCCGCGCGCGGCCGCGGTCTCACCGGGGCCGGGCACCGCGACCACGTCGCCGCGCAACTGGAGGGCGCTGGGCAGCAGGCGCAGCAGCTGGGCCACCGGCAGCATGGCCAGCTCGCAGTCGCACGTCCATAGGCTGCGCAGCTCCCCAGACGAGATGGAGGTCAGGCTGGGCCTGGCCGCGGGCGCGCACGCCGCCATCCCCACCGCCCGGAGGTCTCTGAGATCCCGGGCGTCCTACCCCTGTCGGTCCGCTCCGGTGCCCGCCCGCGAGGAGCGCTGCAGCCGGGCGCAGAAAAGACTGCCCGGCGCCGCGCGGCCTTTTTATCGCCCTGGGTGCGGCTGCCCCGCCCGGCCGCGGACACGACCCCAGGCCTCCGGGCCGAGTGCGTACCACTCACAACTTGGCGCGCTCCCGCCCGTCCGCGCCGGCCCGCAGCCAAGAGTTACTCATCCCCCTCGGGTCTCCTGCTTCGCACCCGGGGCTGGGCGGACACGGCCGGCGGGGTCGGGACAGTGGCCCTGGGTGAGAGGAGGACGTCAGCACCCACCCAGGCCCAAGACACCGCGCCTCTGCGAGCCGATTGGACGGGGGCGCGCCCCTCTCTCGCTCTCCCTCCTGGGGCGGCGGGGCCGTCAGGGCAGTGCCGGACCCCTGTTCCTGGCTCCAAGATCTGCCGCAGCTGTCAGTCCCGGTCTCCTGGCCTCAGTTTTCTGCTTTTTCCGCTCCAGATTATACCCTGACTTCTTTCTCCGCCTTGCCTTTCCTCGCACTGATTCCTTTCCCCGGATTCCCCTCCTCCTACAGATCCCACGGATCACGTCACTTTTCCATGAAGACTTCGTGAGTCCCCCCTGGGTTTCATGAAATTGCTTCCCCTGGCTTATCCGGCAGGGACCAAAGGCCGCAGGGTGCCTGTCCAGTAGTGGGGATGGAGGGACAAGCCCTGCTTCCTCCTCCCTGCCTTCTTGAGACGCGAGCAAGTCATTTGATCAGGCAGTCTATAGATAATGTGAGTGCTCCTTCTGCAAACACACTGGATGTCTTGGCCTCCTGGGGTAGGAAAGGAGGACTGTTTAATGTGATTTAATTTAATTAAACGACGATTTCCGAAACATCCACTAGGAGACAGACAATAAGCTGAATGCTGAGAAGACTGGAAGGCATAAACACAAGCCCCGCCCTTGCCCACCTTACAGCCTGATGGGCTGATGGTGAGACCATTCCAGCCTTCCAGCCAAGATAAGGCACGCCATGAAATAACCCTGCAGGGGGGACCCTGGGTTTATGGGAGGAGGACCCCACCCACTTCTGAGGAGCTTAGCAGGCTCCCTGAAGTCCCATAATTTAGGACTCTAAAAGTTGAGTACAACTTAGGGAACACCTTTAATTTGTCTTTGTGTGTCCCCAGCATGGACCTGTGCATAGATTTAATCAAGTCCAATGAAGAGTCCTGTCATATCTCACTTAAATCCCAGAGTATAAATGAATTCCATTCACATGTCCTTTCTGCAGACATGGGTCCCTTAGCACCAGACTCCATTCCCAAAGGTGGGCTTCTCTGTATAAATCTAGTTCATCCAGCATGCATTGGTCACCACCAAGTCAATCTTTTACTGGAGGAAGAGCATCTGCCTGTGAACCAAGCACCCAAAGGATTGTTTGGCAAAGTGAAGACTGTGGACCACTGCACTGCACAGAGGATGGGTGTGGGTGGGCTGAGGCTGCAGGCAGGACCCAGAGGCTGGGGCTGTATTCCCAGCACACTTTATGCAGGTGTGCATTCTCGCCCCAATCAGTGACATGGTCACTGCTAAACACCAGGCACCATCTTAAGCTCTGCAGGTACCCCAAACAATAACAGCAAAATGAAGAACCAGTAAGGTGAGTGCTGTAATAGATACGTGGAGTAAGTACTGTGAGAGCAAGGTCACGAGAGTGGTTGCTGCTACCTGGGAGGCCTCAGGAAGGCTCTTCTCAGAGGAGATGACAAATGGGCTGGACTCTGAATACAGGAAAGGAGCTCCCAGGGGAAGGAGCCCCATTGATAAGTAATTGAGAGAAGATTCGAAACCAGTCTATGTGAAGAAAGTACGGTTTATTTGAGGAAGAGTGGGAAATGTTGTATGGGTAAAGCAGACCAAGCCTATTTGGGGTAAGAGGGGTGAGTTTTATAAGAGATGAGACCAGAAAGGGAAGTTGGAACCAGATAGTGAGAGGCCTTCTGAGTTGTCCAAGAATTTGGATTCTAAGGGATAGCTCAGTTGGTTAGAGCACGAGCTCTGAACAACAGGGTTGCCGATTCGAGTCCCACATGGACCAGTAAGCTGCGCCCTCTACAGCTAAGATTGTGAACAACGGCTTTACCTGGAGCTGGGCTGCCATGAGGGCTGGCAGCCAATGTGAGTGGCCGGCTGGCGGATGGTGACTTACTGCCTCAGCCGGCTAGAGCACAGTGATCATAATACCAAAATGGGCCAATGAGCAGCGTCCTCCACAACTAGACTGAGAACAACGGCTTGGAGGTGAGGGGGTTGGGGCGGGACAAAGGGGGAGGACAAGGAGGAAGGGACAAAAATTTGGATTCTAAGGCAATGGGGAGTCTTTGGATGTTTTGAAGGACTGGATATAACTTGCCTGAGTTTAGATTGATACCTTTAGTTATGGCCTCTTAGAAGATGTTTTGAAGCAGAAGACTGGAGGCAGAGAGACTAGTTAGGAGATTGATGCCACCATCCAGGTAAGAGACGATGAGGGTCTGAGCGAGTTCACAGAAGTATCTGTGGGAATGGAGATGACAGGATGAATTGGGGATTTGTTTGAACCAGAGTCAGCAGGATTTGCTGATCAAATAAGTGGACTAGTGAAGAGTGAGTCAAAGGAGTAGGAAGACTTTTAGTCTTTCACTTGGATACCTAGATAGACAGTGTAGCTACCAATGGAACATCCAAGTGGAAAAGCCCAGGAGACAGCTGGCTAGCTGGGTCTGGAATTTTGGAGGGAAGGCAGGGGTAATGATGGAAATATGAAAGTCATTAGCTCGAAAATGGGGGTGGAAGCCAGAGAAATGATAGGGTAGGAATTTGAATCCAAGCCTTTAGTTTATTCCCACAAATGTTTACGGAGCACCTGCTATGTTCCAGGACCATGCTTTGCTGGAACTTCAGAGGTGGTAAACAGAGGATGGTCCTGCCCTGCAAGGGAAGAATGCAAGGGTCAGCACAGTTGGCTCTTGGCACATGTCAGGACTTGCTGCTGAAGTCTAGTAGCGTGTCTCTGACCTGCTAATGGAATAAACTTTCAAAGACAACAATGGCTACAAAGTTGCTTTTTTTATTTTAAGGTCAATGAGGGTAGATCCACTGCAGACCCCAGCTCAGCCCTACATAGACTGAGCTCAATACTGCTGATCACCCAGCACTATCTATGGACGATTTGGCTTTGTTGAGGGGTAAAATGTAACATCAGTGTTATGTCAGTGTTAAATAAACTTGGTTAAAATAAACACAGCAGTCCCTCCCATCAAAATCTGTTTCCTTTACCATAAAATATCAACATTTATTATCTGAATAGGAGGATTCAATGAAATTTTTCTTTACTTCTCCATAGTTCTTTGATTTTACAAATTTTCTGCATTTTCCAAATGAGTGTGTATTGTTTTGTACAGTAAAATGATGTTGAGCAGAATAAAAACATTTCAAAGATGCTTTCCTGGTGTGTTATTTAGAGGTTTCACTTGAAGTATCAGTTTCAGGAAAGTGTCTGCACTTCTTTGGAGATAATTTCTATACTACCAACATGCCAAAGAATGATATGAAAAAGTGAACAGGGTAAAACAGCACTCGTTGTAATGTAGGCCACTGCTAATCAGTGGAGCGCTATAGAGATCTTTTCATGTTTCATCTTTTACATTATCAAAGTACCAAGCAGGCAAACAAAATTATTGCTTAGTGAAGATATTTTTTCAGTCTTTTTTATATTGTTGGCTTGTTTACACAGTTGTATTCATATAGTAGAATTTTATCCTGTTTTTGTCACTTAACGCTATAGGTATATTATGTTTCAAAATTGTCTCTGTAAGTAGTATTTTAAGCTACTATGTTATCTTCCATCCAGTGGATATACTATACAGTTCTTTACACCTCCTGAAAACGTAGATTGGTTCCAGTTTTTCCTTACTATAAACAATGCTTCAGTGAACATTTTTGCACTTTAATTTGTTTCTGTATCCAAACTCTCAGAAATGACATCATTGAGACAAGTGATATGACAATGTGTAAGGCTCTTGAAATATGCACCATTGTCTTCCAAAAGAATGATACCCAATTGTCTTCTCGCCAGCAGTGAAGACTTATGGTTTCAAATCTTTGGTATTAGGGGTATGGCACCTCATTCTGGGAAGGCATCACCCTCCTTCTGTCCAGAACGTCGAGGTCATCTTACACTGCACTCTCACTTTCTCCATCCACCCACGCCTTCCTATGCTGTCCTTCCACCCCAGCCAGCTGGCACCCCCTCTACTGCTGATTTTTCTTCTACAAATCTCAGGAATCCCTTGCTTTCTTCCCATCCCCAGAGCTGTTGTTCTCTCAGCCTTCCATCACTCCCCCCCAACCCGGACTATTCCAGTAGCATCCATACCAGCCTCACACCCCTCAATGCCTCCTCCTCATGGCTTCTGGATGAATTGTGTCCCCCAAATTCACATGTTGAAACCATTTAACCCACAGTACCACAGAATGTGACTGCATTAGGAGATAGGGCCTTTAAATAGGCAATGAAGTTAAAATGAAGCTGTTAGGGTTGGGGCCTGATCTAATCTGACTGGTGTCCTTATAACTAGAAGGAGACACACCAGACATGTTTGCCTGTACAGAAGGGTGGCCATGTGAGGACACAGCGAAAAGGTAGCTATCGATAAGCCAGAGAGAGGCCTCAAGAGAAACTTAAACTGATGACACCTTGAGCTTGGATTTCCAGCCTCCATGCTGTGAGAGTCACCCCCTCTGCAATACTTTGTTACTGGGGCTCAGCCGATTGAGCTTAGCTCTAGGCTTCTGGGATATGGCCTGCAGCTCCCTGAAGATGCAGGCTGACCTTGATCTTCCCTCCATGCTATACATGGTCTGTTTCTGCTATAGCCCCACTCCCTCACTGTTCAAGGAAATCCTCATTCACCTTTCAAGGTGCAGCTGAAATAGCACCTCCTGGGAGGTGAGTGCCATGCCCTTCCTGCTGGTCCTCAGGACAAATGGTGTCTGCCATGTATGCCCTTACTACAGGTGTTGTGTTATTGATCTACTTGTCTGTCTCTCCCACGAAATCCATGACAGAAATTTAAAAAACCATATCTTAACGCCTTTTTTTCCTAGTACAATGTAGTTTTGCAGAATCTATCCAATTTCTTTTTATTGAATTAATGCATAAATGAATGAAAGGCAGCCTTGCATCGTGGTTATATATAAAGTTCTTAGAATGGTACCTGACACATAATTGAGTGTTTGTTAAATAAATGAACAAAAATATGCTGACCATGTTTCAGATCATTTTTTTTCTGAGATTGTATCTGTTGAAGTCCTGTGAAAGCTAAAGTAAGCGCATATGGGAAAATACAAGCCTAGATTTGTGAAGAGATTCACCCAGTTAAGTTTTAAGTGACTGTACTGATTCCTGACAACTTTAGTCATGGCTGAGCTAGAATGGAAATTTTTACTTCCTTCCCTGTGTGCTTAGCTCACCGGGCTCTGGCTGTATTCTTCTCTGAGTTCACTGCATCTTGTCTGCCCAAATAAACAGTCCCTCTTGGGGAAAGAGTTCACATGGAAGCCTACCCACGCCAGTCCTCTCCTGTTCTTCGGCACTTTGGTGACATCTCCTTGATTGCTGGTGGGGCACTGAGGGTGGTGGCACTGAGGCTAATGTGGGTAAGGAAGCTGTAGCAGCTGGGAGCACCTGGCATGTGGAGGGAGCCTAGAGGAAGTGCAAGTGAGAAAGAGGAGAGAGTCTGTTGGTGAGAACCAACTGTGGGAACAGAGGGGCGACTCCATTCTACAAAGGCTGACTGGGTGCTTGCGCGGGCTGGGTGCTGGGGACACAAGATGCCCAAGACCTCAAATCAAGCCAGCTACAAGTGTTCGATGACTGTTGGAGGAAGAGCTGGAGGAGGACACAGGGAAGAAAGGAGGGGAACATGAGGGCAGCCAGATGTGGAGGAGACTGTCAGGATGGAGGTCTTGAAGCCCAAGAACAGAAGCATGGATTAGGTACAGGAAGCAACCAGTGGCATCACCACAACTTTTAAAGGGTTGGTGCAGTGATGGCTGCAGGTAAAATCCCCGCCTTGCCCAGGACGCTGCAGTAAAGGCATCTGAGAACCCTCCCACCTCTAAACTCTTGGCTATTCTAAAATGAGCAAATGGGGAGGTCAAGAGATGGGCCCTGGGAACCCCATCATGACCTCCAAACCACAGCTGCTCCTGGCAGAAACAGGCATGGTCAAGCTGCTGTTGGGATTTTTCACCCTATTGCATCCCAGTTACAGTATCAGCCACAACAATGACCCCAGTGACGATGGCTAATATTTAGTGAGGACTTCTCTGTGCCAAACACTCTTCTAATTGTCTTCAATGGATTATATCACTTAATCCTCTAAGCTGGGAACAATTCATGTTCCCATTTTATGGAAGGAGAAATCAAGGTACACAGACCTCCAGGAACTTGCACAGAGTTCCACAGCTGGTACAATGGGAAAGCAGTTTTCATTTTTAGCAGCTGAACTGGCCCCTGGGTGGAAAGATTCCCTCCTCCCAGAGCAAGGGGCCAAGCTGTGGCTCACAGGCCTCGTCCAGCCTGCTGTCCATCTCTGTACACCTGTGATTAAGGCTGCTTTTTAAGTAGTTGGGAACATCAAAAGAAGGGTAGTATTTCATGACATGTAAAAATTATATAATGGTCAAAGTTCAGTGTCAATAAAGTTTTATTGAAACACAGTCACACTCATTTGTTGACATCTGGGTGTGTTTGTGCTAGAACAGCAGGGTGAGCAGTTTTAACAGAGACTGTGGGGCCCTGGAAGCCTAAAATATTTACTGTCTGGCCCTTTACAGAGAAAATGTGCCAGTCCTGAGTCGAGACTGCTGTCTAGAGTGAGTTGTGGTTCTCCAGTGTCACTTCCCTTTCTCTAGGCACACAGCCCCTCCACCTCTCCAGGGCTGGCAGTATCCTCCCGTTTAAGAGACTCCAGACCACAAGAAAATTAAAGCCACCCCCAACCCCCACAACCTCAGTCCCCCAAGTCCCTCTCTCAAATAAAAAAAGGAATTTATTTAGCAGTCATTTTCACACTCATTGGCAAATCAGTGGTGGCTCTGTTTACACATTCATTCCACAACATTGGTTGATCCCTGAGCCCCGGTGTGGTCTAGAATGGACCCTCTTTCTCCACATAGTCAGCGGACCCTGACCTGAGTGGTCAGGCACAGGCTTTGATGTGGACAGACCAGGGTTAAGATCCCGGTTCTTCCTCTCCTGAGCCCTGACCCACCTCGCCCTGCAAGACGTGGGGGTGCTCTTATCTCCACCCGCTTCCTTTTATGAGCAGGCAATAAAATCTCACATGCGAGGAGCGAGACACGGGACCAACCCCGGGACCAACCCCACAGAACTGCGTCGCCATCAGCACCACTATTGTTAGCGATGAGCCTACTCATGCCCGCCTCCCAGGAGATAAAGCCCACGCAGATGCAGAAAAAGCAACCTCTAGCGCGTTCACTCTTTTTTTTTTTTAATGTAGAACCAGGAAACACTGTACTATCCCTAGGCCCTTTGATATTTGTTACAATCTGAAGAGCTAAAATGATTTGAGTCAGAAGGGGAAAAAAATGAGAATTCCACTGGGACTGAGAAAACACAGAGCAGAAATAACAAGGCTCTTGGTGAGGCAGGGCTGACACCAGTGGGAAGAGGCGGGACCCTGGAGGGACGTCAGGTCTTCGGAATGCTGGGCCCAGCCCCCTCATCCTTTTGGAAGAAGAAGAGAAAAATTAGCAGGCACAGAATGTTCAGAAAGAAATGAAATTTTAAAAAGAAAAACACATTTTGTGTTTTTGTGAGGTTTTACAGTCAAGAGCTTAGCAGAGGCGGATTCGGGAAACTGAGCTGGTTCCTTAATCCTATTTTGATCTGTAAATTACCGAAGCAGTGGAAGGAGGGGGAAAATGAACATTTCCTCACCATTGGTGAGAACTCTGCAACTTTGAAAAACTTGCAGTTCTTTACTACTGAATAATATGTGTTAAGTGCAGAAAAAAATCAGAATATATTGATTTAACTTTTAAAATGAATAAATAGGGCCTTCACCCTGTCATCCCTCCCCCCACACTATCCAACCCACCACCCCACACCCAGAGATGAGCACTGAAGATTGGTTACTGTGTGTCCCCCAGCCTTTCTCTCTCGGTGTAAAGTTGAGTGCGGAAAGCATATATTTTCACCCAGTGTAGATGATTACTAGTGAAAACTAGGCACTTTGGAGCCACAGGACCTGGATTTGACTCCTAGTTCTGCCCTTGCCAGCTATATGAATTTATTTTTCTGCCTCAGTTTTCTCATTTCTGAAATGGAGTTCCTCATAGCATTCACTTCACAGGGCTCTGTAGTGAGGATTAAATGACTTATTATATGTAAAGCACTAGAACAGTGACTGGCCCTGTTAGGGGGGGTGTGTGTGTGTGTGTGTGTGTGTGTGTGTTCCTTAATATACACACATTTTTCTTAAATAAAATTACATCAAACTATTCATGGTATTTGATAGCCTTTCTTTTAATAGGTAAATTATTATTCATTATACCATATTGTCAGTACTTTAAGTTGCTTCTCCTTTTTCACTATTAAATGAAAATAATACTGCCATTTACATTTTTCCACTTGGATCTTTGGCAACTTGACCAATTATTTGCTTAGGATTAATCTGAAGAAGCTGGATCAGGTGCTGTGCTCTTTTTGAAGGATTTAGACACATAATGCCAAATTGCTCTCCTAAAGGTTGTATCACTTTAAATACCCAACAACACAGCGTGAAAATCTCTATTTCCTCAATCCTTGTCAACCTTGGGTATTTTAATTCTATTCCATTTCTTTTCCCCACCAGGTTGGGAGTTTTATTGGTTTAATCTTTATTTTGGTATCAGGAAGGTTAAAAATTTTTGTGTATGTTTTCTGCTATTTTTATTTTTTCCCCTATGAATTTGCTGTTTATGTCCATTGTTAACATATGGATTCATCTTTCCCTTATTGGTTTGTCAGAGTTCTTTATATATTAAAAATATTAACCTTTTTAAAAAATTTATCATTTGTCTTTTAGTTTTGTTAAATACTCAAGTATATTAGAGTATGTTTTTACCATTCAAAAGTTTTGCATGTGTGGGCCAGCCGAGTGGTGCGTTGGTTAAGAGTTGGCTTGGGATGCCAGCTCTGAGCAGCAGGGCCCC